GAGACTCCAACTCAAAAAAAAAAAAAAAAATATATATATATATATAAACCAGCTGGGCATGTTGCCTCATACCTGTAATCCCAGCACTTTGGGAGACTAAGAAGGGAGGACTGCTCGAGCACAGGAGTTTGAGACCAGCCTGGACAACATAGCGAGACCTCATCTCTACCAAAAAAAAAAAAAAAAGCAAAATATTAGCTGGACGTGGTGGCATGCACCTGTAGTCCCAGCTACTTGAGAGGCTGAGGTGGGAGGACTGTTTGAGCCTAGGAATTCAAGGCTGTGGTGAGTCATGATCATGCCTGGGCAACAGAATGAGACACTGACTAAAACAACAACAAAACAAAACACACACACACACACACACACACACACACACACACACACACACACTTCTTCTACATTAAAAACAAAACATTTAACATTTTAAAAAAGACCAGCCGGGCTTGGTGGCTCACCCTGTAATCCCAAGCCTTGGGAGGCTGAGGTGAATGGATTGCCTGAGCCTGCGGGTTCGAGACTCGCCTGGGTGGCGAGACCTCATCTCTACAATAAATCAAAAAATCAGCTGGGCATGGTAGCGCATGCCTGTAATTCCGGTTACTTGGAAGGCTGAGGCGGAAGGATCGCTGGAGCCCAGCAGGTCGAGGCTGCGGTGGTCGGGAGTGGCCACTGCACTCCAGTGTGGGCGACCGAGTGAGACTCCAACTCAAAAAAAAAAAAAAAAAAGACCAAAATGCCAGATGCCTTGCTTGTTCAAGGCCTACAATACACATTCATTAAGGAGCCACTGCTGTTGTTGCTATGTGTTCAGAGGTTCTCTGGCAAGGAAGTGAGGCATCCTGCCAGCAGCAACATGAGTGAGCCATGAAGGGTATCTTGTCCCCAGTCGACCCCCTTCAGATGACTGCACTTCTGGTGTAATCTTGACTGCAGTATCACAAGGGACCTCTTGTCAAAACCATCTAGTTAAGCTACTCCCCCTCCCTGAGCCATAGAAATTGTATGAGATAATGAAAGTTTGTTGTTGTTTTAAACCACTAAGTCTTAACTTTATTATGCAGCAAGAGAATTAATAAGTCACTTTTAGCTGGGCATGGTGGCTCACACCTGTAATCCCAACACTTTGGGAAGTCAAGATGGGAGAATCACTGGAGACCAGGAGTTAGAGACCAGGCTGGGCAACATAGCAAGATCCTGTTTCTACAAAAAATGAAAAAAAAATCCGCCAAGAGTGGTGTTACATCCCTGTAGGCCCAGCTACTCAGGAGGCTGAGGCAGGTGGATCACTTGAACCCAGAAGGTCAAGGATGCAGTGAGATATGATTGTGCTACTGGATTCCAGCCTGGGTGACAAAGCGAGATCCTGTCTTCAAAAAAACAAAACAAAACAAAAAACCCCACTCTTTTATCTGACTTCCAGTTTCAAATCTGGTATAATTTAATTGGATAAATTTTTATAATCTTACACTTTCCCATTTATGAACACATCTCTTTATTTATTCAGATGTTTTATACCCTTCAGTATAATCTTGCAGTTTTTTCCATTAAAGGTCCTTTAGCTGTCTTATTAAACCTAGTTGTAGGTATTTTATTATTTTTATGTTGCAATTAAAGAGGATTTTATTTTACATTCACATTTCTAAAAAATTATTAATAAAAACAATATTTAAAATTAAACATATCACAAATTATTATATACTCACAGGTATGGTGTTATAAAGTTGGCAAGGAATACAAAACTGGGGTGTATCAGGATATAGCAAAACAGGGTAAAGATGGCACTGTGGAATCTTTTCAGTGAACCCATGGTCTAAATATTGAACCTGAAACAGGCCAAATAAAATTTATAGTTAAAATTACCAAAAGTTAGGGGACAGAAGGCATTTCCTGGTATTAAAAAAAGACATACTGAAAAGATAATTAAATTTGGACTTGAAAAATTTCCAGAAAAAAGCAACACTGTATTTATTCCCTCATCCCATACTGTATCAAACCTTGTTTTTAAAAGGTATTCTTACATGTAACCTATAAATAAAATCATTTTTTAAACGTTGGATTTTATTAGATTTACATATTCCTCAAGAGCAGCCCCTTTTAAAAATGCTTTGTTAGCCGGGCTCAGTGGCTCAGCCTGTAATCCCGTGCCTTTGGGAGGCTGAGGTGAATGGAATGCCTGAGCCCGCGGGTTCGAGACCCACCTGGGCAGGTGAGACCTCATCTCTACAATAAATCAAAAAAATTAGCCAGGCATGGTAGCGTGCGCCTGTAGTTCCAGCTTCTTGGAAGGCTGAGGCTAAAGGATCACCGGAGCCCAGCAGGTAGAGGCTGCAGTGGCCAGGAGCGGCCACTGCACTCCAGTATGGGCGACAGAGTGAGACTCCAACTCAAAAAAAAAAAAAGCTGTATTAGCTAGGTGGCTTATGCCTATAATCCCAGCACTTTGGGAGGAAGAGGCGAGAAGACTGACTGAATCCAGGAGTTTGAGACCAGCCTTGGCAATTTGGCAAGACCTTGTCTCTGCAATGAATAAAACAATTAGGAGGGTTTGGTGGCACATGCCTGTGGTTCCAGCTGCTGGGAAAGCTGAGGTGGATTGTCTGAGCCCAGCAGGTAGAGGCTGTGGTGGCCGTGAGTATGCCACTGCACTCTAGCCGGGGTGACGGTGAGACTCCAACTCAAAAAAAAATGCTCTGTTAATTTTGATAATTCAAATTCCAAATTGTCTTAAGAATAAGGAATGCCAATAAGTTATTTCTTCTGCCTGAATATAATGACATGAACATAACACTGCTCAATTAGGCTTTTTTTAGTAATCCATATTTAAAAAAATAAAATAGAACTGAACAAAATATATCTGAATATGTCACACACAGTGAGGGTGAGTATGGTATCATAAAAAGTTTATTTCTTGATATAAAATCACAGAATAAACTTTGAAAGATAACAGGTTAAGAAACAAAAAACTCACTAAAACTCTTTATATGTACACTTGAAATGTGAAATCAGTCTATGGCTATACCACCCAGAATGCACTGATCTCATCTGAAATGAGAAATGACCACAGGAAAAAAATAAAAGGTGCTAATTATCAAAGTACCTTTAAAAAAGTTAAAATAAGCAGATATTTAGATAGCATGAGAAAAATTTTTAAAAGCTCATCATCTTATTTACTTGAATTCCATAAACATAAAGTTCATAAAGTGCGATAACTTAATGAAAACTGAATTTCAGTTTACCATTGCATTAAAGGAAAAAAGGGTAGGAGTTACCCGAACAACTCAAATGTATGTGAAAAGTGACCCTGTGCATATAAACACATGAATCTGTAAGTATACAGATGCTTAAGTACTCATCCAAAATCTTAAACCATTTTACTTCTATTAAAACCATTAAAAGTGTGCTGTTGAGCAGAAAAAGCACAAGACATAGACTGGGAAGTTTAGGAATCAGATGCGTGGATATCAATTCCAGCATCACCACCCACTGACAGGGTGACCGGGGCAGATCACTGAACCTAAATTTAAATTTTCTTATTAATAAAATGAAATATGCATCTATGTCTAGAATAGTTGTCAACAAATTATAAAATATGAATGCACATATATGAAGAAAGTTGAAAAACCAACCAGAAAGTAACTCTTGTCCAGGTAGAAACAAAAGACTTTCCTACACAGTATTTCTTCTCAGCTCTCCACCCATTAAAGTTTTCAAGTGTTGAATATATGATGAAGTACTTCATCAATTTCATCGCTTTACTTAGTAAATTCAATGTAAATGGAGGTATTTTTCATCAGTATTCTTATATATACATTTTTTCAAAGCATGTAGCTACTTTTGAAACTTGAGTGCTACCTCATCATTCTAGAAAGGTAAATTAGCCCTTACCCTGAGGGTCACAGACAAATTTGTTAAGAAGATACATGACATATTGGAAAATAAGTTGTTGTTTTCACTGTGTGTGCAAACTGGGCTACCAATTACTAAGAAATGGTCCATCCATTAAGCAGTCCATCAAATCCCTCCCTGGAAATATTTTTTGGTTATTCCGGTTAGTTAAAAAGAAAAATTCTTAAAAAAAAAAAAAAAATTATTATTTATTTATTTATTTATTTTTGAGTTGTAATCTCACTCTGTCACCCAGACTGGAGTGCAGTGGCCACTTCCAGTCACTGCAGCCTCGACCTGCTGGGCTCCGGCGATCCTTCCACCTCAGCCTTCCAAGTAGCCAGAATTACAGGAATGCGCTACCACGCCCGGCTGATTTTTTGATTTATTGTAGAGATGAGGTCTCGCTGCCCAGACGGGTCTCGAACCTGCGGGCTCAGGCAATCCACTCACCTCAGCCTCCCAAAGGCGCGGGATGACAGGCTGAGCCACCAAGCCCGGCTGAGAAAAATTCTTATTACAAATAAAAGTATAATGTAATTGACTCATCTTTCTATACAATTAAATTCATCAAGAGATGTTTTAGTCAAGTGCTCGCATGTTCTCTCATTTAGCACTAGAACAACCCTCAGAGAAGACCAGACTCACCCTGATGGTGCTGCCTCCAACTTCCATCACCCGGCCACGGTACCACAGCGTGTCAGATCCTCTTACAGCACAGGCTTCTCCCTTTTTCCAGAAATAAGGCTCCAAAAGACCAAGGCATTTTAAATTACTCTGAATTTCATTCATCATTTTTACAAGCTCAGATTCTGAAAAAAATTATTAAAGATAGAAAGCATTTAGAAAAGAATTCCCTATCAATTGTCAATAAGTCACAGTCAATCTTTAATAAAACTTCATCACTTAGGTAATATATGGAATTAAAAATCAGTCCCACAATAGAATTTTCATAAAATCTGTGTTTCAAACATACCACTAACAGAATACAAATAGTTATTTTGATCTTTGATCATATTTTGAGAGTGTAAACATCATAAAGAGCTCTGAACACATGCCAGAGAGCCTAATATCAAAGAATTACCAATTTGAGATGCTTGACAGCACAATTAAGTAAAACAGAACACAAGCTATGTGCTGCTCTACAGTATGATGCTGGGATTATAAATTAAAAATTTTACTTTTACTGCTAACTAGTCCATTATTTTCACAATAAATATATACTCTTGATAGCAAGCTCTGAAATAGTTCCCATCCCAGTCCTACTGCTTTCTCTGTGTGATCGGGGGTAGTCCCCTACCTCCACAAGCCTCAATTGACTCTTCTGCAGATTGAGTACAATAGCACCTACCTGCATCATCAGCATTGCAGCAGGACAAGATGTAGAGTGTCTAGCACACTGCCTGGCACACAAGAGCCCACCAGTTTGAGCAATGACTATTTACATATGTCAAGCAAAGCTTCTGGGTGAAGTACTATGATTACAGGTCTCAAACATTGTTCGCTTCTCCTGGAACAGCCAATTGCACAGGTTTATTCTGTCTTTCAAATTAAAGAATGTATTTAGGGATCAACAGATGAGAGAGAAACTTCAGTGGACTCATAGCTACCACACCCTTGTGCACAGGTGGACATCCCAGGGTGTTCTGCTGGCCCAGGCTGTAGTCAAGAGGCCTCTGGAAGGAGGCCTCAGGAAGGACATGAAGATTCTCAGAATCCTCAAGCACCACCCACATATTGTCATTTCTCATTCTAAGTAATTAGACTTCTGTGTTCTTTTTCCTGAGAGAACCTCTGAACTTGTAAGAGTGCTAGGCCTTACACAGCTGGAACTGTCCCCCGCTGGGCCACCATGAAGGGAGGCCAGTCGTCTGTGCTGGTCCTGGTCTGAGAGGGGCCTCTGTAGCCTTTCGGAACCATGCTGTTCCTCCTCCCTCTGGGCTGGAGAACCCAGGATGTCTGCTCACTGTGGAGCCTCTAAGTCCTAAATTCTGCCACTTGAGCTCCAGGATTGTTACATTCTCAAGGATCCCAAGGTTTATAAATGCACAAACATACTGCCATGGTGGAGGAGGAGGGAAAGTCCTGGGTGGCAGCTTGGACATATCATGAGGCTAAGACCCCAGTGACTTTCTGCCAGCCTATCCAGACTCCTTTATTCTTACTAAACTCCATTCTCCTATTCTTCCAGCCCACCGGACCCCTTTATTTTATTATTTTATTTATTCCTATCTTTGTGTGAGTTATTTCCTTTTTCTATGCTAAAGTTTCTAACTCTAAAAAGGTTTATCACTTTTTTTCACATCTATATCTATCCATATTTCAAAGCCATGGTGTTTCTCAAAAAAGTTTTCCTTCCCCTAGCCTAACTCTGCCTCCCACAACATGTTGCACACAGTGTGTCCCGTAGAAACAACAGGGTATGGTGAGAAAACACACGGCTTGGAGCCAACGTGTACCTAAAGAAGAACCAGGGGCAACTGGCTCCCATGGACTTCAAGTGATATAGAGAACAAGTAAGGTATATACACGTTACAAGCAGGATAGGCTAGGTTAGGGAAAAATTGTGGTGCTGGGGCAGGGACAGCCAAACAGAGAGATAAAACAGAAGAGAAAGTTCAGAAACAACTACCATACATATGCAACACTAATCTTTGACAAAGGAGGCACTACAGATCAGTGAGAAATGAGTGAAATATTAGGTAGATGGTCTGGAACAACTGATTAAACCTATAAAAAGTGAAATTCAATCTCTTCTCTACATCTACCAAAAAGTCAACTCCAGGATGGTTCAAAGACTTAACATAAATAACAAAATTATAAACATTTTTTTACAAGATCATATAATGAAACACCTTCCTGATCTCTGAGTAAGAAAGGATTTTAATATGAGATACCAAAACAAGAAAACGGATAAAATGGCATAAAAATGGCATTAAAATGAGGTTTCTGTTAATCAGAAACCTCAAAAAGACACTGAGAAGAAGACAAGTGAGAAACTGAGAGATGATATCTGCAACACATAAAACCCAGACAAGATTGAGGATATATTAAGAACTAAGAATCAGAAAGTAATGACTTAATGGAAAATGAACAAAAAACAGGGACATTCCATAAATGTGAGAATACTAAGGACTCAAACAGAACGAAAGATGTTCAATCCCATAACTAATCAAGCAAATGCAAATTAAAGCCATGGTGAGAGATGGTTTCATGCCCACTAGATTGGCAAATATTAATCTGACAATACCAAGTGTTAGTAAGGATGGGAAGTAATGAAAATTCTCACTGCACTGCTAGTGCTGAGTATAAATTGTTACAAACCACTTTGAAAAACAATTTGATATTACCTAGAAGAGGTAATCATATACAATCCTAAATAATCCACCAAGTCTGCTCACTGGATTGGTCCCCTAGAAAAATTTTGCTTGTGTGTTCCAAGAAACAGGTACAAGAACATTCACAGCAGTATTTTTGTAATTGCAAAAAACTTTAGAAGCATTCATATCCATCAACAGACTAGATAGATATATAATAATTCACTGGACTACTATTAATTCATAAAAATGAAATATAGTTAGATTCATCAAGGCATATAAATCTCAAACATTTTGATGCCAAGTCACAAAAAAGTATACATTTTTGTTGTTTACGATCTACAAAGGAAATCATAATGGCAAATGCAGGAAGCTGGCCACATCCTGGGCAGTGGGAGTGGTACACGCTTGAGTGGGGCTCATGGGCTTTCTACATTGGAAACAATAATGGTAGATGCAGAAAGCTGGTCGTGTCCTGGGTGGTGAGAGCAGGATATATTTGAGCAGGGGTTGTAGGCCTTCTACATAGGAAATGATAATGGTAGATACAGGAAGTGGGCTGTGTCCTGGGCAGTGAGAGCAGGACATACTCAAGCAGGGCCCACAGGCCTTCTACACCAGAAATGATAATAGTAGATGCTAGGAAGTGAGTCATGTCCTGGGTGGTAAGAACAGGACACACTCAAGCGGGGTTCACAGGTCTTCTACAATATAGCTCAGGTGATGCTGTTTCTCATCCTGGGATACTCATCTTCATATTTTTATTTAAATGCCTTCACATTTATAACATTTTATAAACACATAAAACATTCATTTGAGCAGTTTTTTGTCATTTTTAGTGAGCCAGCATGCTGACCTGTGTGAGTGATCCTCTGGGACGCCATCTCCAAGCGAGGGTTTCCTGCTAGATTTCCCACTTTGAGTGAAGTGACCTTGGGCTTTATTTCCCTCTTCTTAAACTTTGTGTCACTATCAAAGGTGATGTTCAAGGTATATAGAGATGAACCCACTCTGGGATCAACGTCCTCTTTGGCATGTGTTCACCTCTCAGGGTGTGGGGTCACTTCGTTTTGGAGCTTGGTATATTCTTAAGTTTCATGCCAACTCAGTAAATGTTAATTTGGAAAATATATACACATTTGACCTGACTTATTCAGGAAGGCTGTTCAATCTGCCTTAAATTTATTTCTTTTTATACTGAGAACACACTCACATAATTATAATACACAACACTGCTTGCTATGTTAGGATAATAATGAAAAAACTTCATTGAGGATCTTTATGTGCTAAGCATTGTTAAAAGCACTTCACATGCATTGTATGAAATCATTTAACCTTCCTTACAACCCTATGAAAAAGAAGCTCAAAAGGGTTAATTACTTGCCCGAGGCATTTCAATCCATGTCTATCTACTGGACAACTGGAGCTAGGTCTACTTTTACTGACACAGAAGATCTTACCTGACAGTTTAGGTATTACAAATATAGTTCCATCATCACCAATGCAGCTGACTATTGCCTCAAATACTTTCGTGTTAGGAATAGCTGGTGGTTTATAGCATCCAGTGGTTCTTGGTTCTGGAATTTTCTCCTTAAATTCAGATACCCTGTGTTCACTGATTATGTCAGCAGTTTTTCTGTCAGGGTTCAAGTTCATTTTAATACACTTAGTATCTATTGAATCTTCTTGCTCCAGGGAGACTTCTTGTTCCAGAGACTTCTCAGATAATGAATGGCTGTTGGGTAATTTATTAATTCTGTAACATCCAAAAAAGAACATATCCAAACATAAGCAAACATAAAATTCTGGGGAAAGCAATAAAAAAGTAACCCTTTAATTATATTTGAAATTTAAAGAAAATATTTGCTTTAGTCTAGGACATACTTGTCTAATTTGTTACATGAAAATTAGCATAATTTATGTTATAATGAAAATTATTTTGAATTATAAATGAGACTGATGAGGAAAGAGAAACATAATTTCATTTAAAGGTTTTAAATTACTATCCTCAGACCAGAGGTGCCAAAAAAATGTATTTTAAGAGATGTTATCTATGTATTACTTTTAGTTAGCTGTAATCAGAAGTGCCTGGATGTGGATGTGGTAACCACTTTGAGCACCTCTTGTAAATGCAGAAGTCAAATGTGACTTGCATTCATCTTCTGTTATCAGTTTATATTGAGTATTACAATTTTAATACAGTTTTCCCTTTCTTAAAATGCGTATACCTTTTTTTGGCATGCTATCTCTCTTTATATACTATTCTCTCTTAAAATCTCATAATAAGTATATCCCAAGTACTGTACAATGAGTAAAATGTTACTGGAAAATACAACACCTTCAAGTTGATTTTAACTTGGTCCACAGATAGACCGTATTCATCTAGCAACCTATTAATAGCATTCATAAAGTAATACAAATGGCATATGTCTTTTTTTTAAAAAAGGGTAGTACTCAGCTATTAGTTGTTAGTGCAAATATGCTATATTTACTGAATTTTCTACTTCAAGTTATTCCCTTACAATTAGAAAAAAGTAGGTGTATTGCACAAAAAAAAAATACTAGAAGGAGTTAGGTGTGGTGGCTCATGTCTGCAATCCCAGCACTTTGGGAACCGGAGGTAGGAGGACTGCCTGAGTTCAGGGGTTTAACACTAGCCTGGGCAACTTAGCAAGACTTCATCTTTATAATAAATAAAAAATTTAGCCGGGCAGGGTGGCACGCGCCTGTAGTTCCAGCTACTTGGAAAGCTGAAGTGGAAGGATCACCTGATCCAGAGGGCCAAGGCTACGGTGGCTGTGAGCATGCCACTGCACTCCAGCCTGGGCGAGAGTGAGACTCCTACTCAAAAGAAAAGAAAAAAATTACTAGAAGGAAATATTAACATTGGTTATGTTTTAGCAGAATCATAGGTTTTTGTTTCTTCTGATTTTCCATACTTTTAAAAGGAAACCGGCTTTTATCAGCTACCTAATTCCTCAAGTAACCCCCAAATCCCCTCTGCTTCTGCCTTAAAATAGCTAGTAGTTTTAGTCTACAAAAACATTAAAGAACATCACAACTGGTGGTAATATCAGTAGTATTAACTTGCCTAGCATTATCAATTTCAACATTTCTTTTATCGAGGAACTGCTTTAGCCTAAAGACAATGAACCCAAAAGAGCCACACGTGGGAGTGAAGATGTGGTCCCTAGCTTCATCTAATGCCTGGCAGCTCAGGTAGCATCTACCACACTTAGCCAACTACCTCATGTCTCCCTTCATTGCTGATTTTTCACTCTCTTTCATCAGGGATGGGGGTCTGGTGCAAATAAGGCAACTACCTCTAAGGAGATCTAGCCGTGTGTGATACAAAGTGGCTATGCAATTCCAACATACATCTGAGTCTCTAGAGAGAGAGGAGAGAGTAAGCTAGCGCTACGCCAACATCCTGATCCTGTCTCCTGATCACAAGTACCTAAACCCCACACTCAGTACCTGAAAGGATCTTTGAATTATTGATTTTGCTACATATTCTTGTTTCTCATAAATACACTTTGAAATATACTCATCCGAAATCCTAAAACAAAGCTTAAACATTTCTGTCTAAGCAAAGAATGCCAAAGGGCTTGGATCTGGTAGTCATTACTGTTCTGTTTCTTGGGTTTACAGCATAAATTTCAAAGAAAAGAGGAAAGTATGAAAGCAAACATGTCAGTAGGGGGCTGGAGTGTGAAAAGCTGATGGGCCTGAATAAAGAAATGAACAATTCTGAAGGGGCTGGCTTCTGAGCTGACTCCACAGGTTAGCACACAAACCTTTCAGAGCAAATGACATGCAGCTGAGGTCTGAAAGCACACACACAGAAAGATCTACACAGGCATCCAGCACAGACTGATGTAAAAATGTTTAGGTTTATACCTCCTTTCTCTCAAAGCCAAACCCTTTTTAATCAAATATTTAGAAACATCAACACGCTCTCCTTTTTCATCTCTGCAGAAGATTTTCACAGGTAGTGGCCACGTCGTGTTGTTTTCCTGCAGTGATTTAAGAGCAGAGTAAATATGAGGCAAAAAAATGCAAATGTATCAACAATGTACATTTTTCTAAGCAAGAAAAAGAATTTCCCAACTGAGTAAAGTTATATTGATATCTGCATATATCAGAGAGAAAACAGCAAGGGGCTGGGCTCGGTGGCTCAGTTTGTAATCCCAGCACTTTGGGAGGCTGGGGCAAGTGGATTGCCTGAGCCAGCAGGTTTGAGACCAGCCCGGGCAACTTGGCGAGAACCTGTCTCTGCAATACATAAAAAATTAGCCAGGCTTGGTAGCACATGACTGTAGTTCTGGCTACTTGGAAGGCTGAGGCGGAAGGACTGCAGGAGGCGAGCAGGCCAACGCTGGGGTGGCCGTGAGTGTGCCACCGCATTCCAGCCTGGGCGACAGAGTGAGACTCTGACCTCCCCCCCAAAAAGAGAAAGAAAACAGCATGGAAGAGAGTCAACAGGAACCAGCTTTTTGTGTGTGTAAAATATACCAGAAAGACCCCCACTGTCAAGGTAAAGTTTACCAAAAACAAAATAAGAAGCAAACCCAAAATTTTATTTTCAATCCCACAGTGGTGAGGTAGAGAACACACCACCAGTTAAGTTTCTCTATTTCCCTAAACTCTCTGCAAATTACAAAATCAAAATATATTTTCCAAGCGTGCCTTTTTTCCCCTACAAAAAGCAAAAGAACTACAGAGTATACATTCTGTTTCATATGAAAATTATAAAAATGAAGAAAATTCATACAGAAAGGACAAAGTAACATTAAAATTCAATTCTACAAGAAAATTCAAATCATTAATGAAATAAAATGTGTGTAAATTAGAAAAAAGTAAAGAAAACAAAGAATATTTACCTCTTAGCTGCTTTTATATCACAGGACAATAATTTTTTAAATGTTCTGAAAATACATGCCTCTTTTCAAATCCACCCACACACAAACTTTGGGACACGCAGTTAATATGATTTAACTAGAAACTAATCTTCCAGTTTAGCAAAAGAATACCAATTGGCTTTAGAAATAAACTCTAGCATACACGTTATATTTTTAACAAATTACAAACTCAAGAATATTACTCTAAAGGTTGGGTGCGGTGGCTCATGCCTGTTATCTCAGCACTTTGGGAAGCTGAGCTGGGAGGATTGCTTGAGTCAGTCCAGAAGTTTGAGACCAGCCCAGGCAACATAGTGAGACGTCATCTCTACAAAAAAATTAAAAAATGAGCTGAATGTGCTGGTGCACCTGTAGTCCCAGCTGCTCAGAAGGCTGAGGTGGAAGGATAACCTAAGCCCAGGAGGTCAAGGTTGTGGTGAGCTGTGACTGCACCACTGCATTTCAGCCTGGGCAACAGAGTGAGACTCCGACTGAAAAAAAAAGAATATTACTTTAGAAATATTTTCACTCATTCATATAATCATTTGTGGTACATCTATTATTGAACAGGTATTATACCTTGAAATAAACCAATAAAATATGCAACAAAATCCAAATCATTTGCTGTTACTTTTTCAACAAAAAAGAACATAAATGCAATAGATGGAAACACCAGTGGAAATATCAGTACCTATATATTGTAACTTGTGACTGCACTGCCCACCTGTATCATTACAGATGCGATGGCTCCAGTCAGGTACAATGAAAGACAGTCACAAGCTGTTGCTGTCCACTTGTCACTCCCACCAGTTGGTCTAAGACAAAATGACAACTTGCTTTATGACCAATAGCATGGGATAGTGAAATATACAAGAAACATTACATATACACACACTCATAGTATCAGCCACCAAAATATGTAGTGAGAGCTCAACATGGATTTATTTTATTATTTTCACAATTTTCCTCTCCATTTTTCATAGCCACTGTTCATCACTTTATTCTAATTAGGGCTTATATTACATGCTAACTTATTGATGTATATTTGTTCTGCAGCTACAATGAGGACCCCTAGAAAGTAGGTATGTTATAAGTACTTTTGAGTCATTGTACATGTTTAACACATCAATTAGATACACACTCACTGTGTTATGTCCTCATCATATTCCCTAATGTCTCAAATAGCGTGCCCTGAGTCCTCCCCACAAATGCTGGTACCATCAGGGTCCTGGTTCCTGGTGTGCCAAATCTGCTCATATCTAGGGGCTCCTAGGGGTGACTTGTCACCTACTTTTGTTGTATATATTGACCGTGTAGTCTTTAGTTTTGCTGTTCAAGTTGCTCTGTTTTTGTAGTGGAATTCTGGGTTAGGCATGGTGGCTCACGCCTGTAATTCCAGTTCTTTGTGAGGCCAAGCTGGAAGGATTGCAAAACCCAACTCCACAAAAACAAACAAAAAACAAAAAAAGATTCTTCCATTTTCCCACAATTCTCTACAATTCATTCTTTTTGGTAATTTACATTTTTTAGCTTTCCATGCAATTCTAAATTTGTGAAATAAAAAAGAACATAAATGCAATAGATGGAAACACCAGTGGAAATATCAGTACCTATATATTGTAACTTGTGACTGCACTGCCCACCTGTATCATTACAGATGCGATGGCTCCAGTCAGGTACAATGAAAGACAGCCTTTGTTGTTTCTCAAAGTTTTTTATATTCAACAGTTTGTATTCTATCTAGATACCTTTCATACTCACCTATCTCTATTTCTTAATGCCACTAAATTTATGTGTTCCAAATTTTTATCTTTCCTTCTTCTTAAAACCCTAGTATAACTAGATTTTAGGAAAATTTCACAGCACCTTAGCAAAATTAAAACTGACACAAAGCCAGGCTCAGTGGCTCAGTCCGTAATCCTAGCACTTTGGGAGGCCGAGGCAAGTGGATTGCCTGAGCCCGTGGGCTCGAGACCAGCCCGGGCAACTTGGCGAGACCTCGTCTCTAAAATAAATTAAAAAAAATTAGCCGGGCTAATTGTAATAGCGCACGCCTGTAGTTCCAGCTACTTGGAAGGCTGAGGCGAAAGGATCGCCAGAGCCCAGCAGGTTGATGCTGGGGTGCCCATGAGCATACCACTGCTCTCCAGTCTGGGCGATGGAGTGAGACTCCAACTAAAAAAAAAAACAAAACAAAAAACCTAAAAATAAATAAACAAATAAATAAAAAATAAAAATAAAAAAACTGTCACAAACCCATCCAAAATATTTAAAATAATTATATTCAATAATGAGAATATTGCTCAACTAAAAACTACCTGATGTCAACAAGAGAGCATTCCAATGATAGTCTTCCCATTGTCTTTAGATTTTCTTGAAGTTCTCTTAAACAGTCAATATTCACTACTAGTTCAACACCCACATCATACAGCAAGACCTAAAAAAACAGTAACTTTAAGTCTAGGGAAAGACAACACTTAAAATTTTTTTCTTTTTGCAAACTGAAAATCATAATAAAAACTGGGTAAAATAACTCTAGAAAAAAATACAAACTACATTCACCTTCACAATGATATTTTTAATTCTGCAATTTACCTCTACCAGTGTATCTGTAACCATTTTGATGATCTGGCCTCTTCGCCACTGATTTTTATCTCGGATCTTAACAGCACAGTGCATATCAGTTTCCCACTTAATAGGTTCCCATTTTGAGTTTTCATAAGCAGCGATCATCTTTTCTTCCAAACTATATGAAGATAAATAATATTTAACTTTCCACACTCTTTCTTATGATAAACAATTCACTGATCACATATTTTCTACTATCCCCTTTGCTCGTGCCACTTCAGCCACCTGGACACCTTATTTATTCCTTGAAAGTACCACACAAATCTCCATCTTAGCCTCTGACCTAGCTCTTCCCTCTGCCTGAGGTTCCCCTCCCTCAAGCACTCACGTGCTAAATCCCTCTCCTCTTTCAGGGCCTGTTTCAAGTGTCACTATGGCTATGCCACTCTGGCCCTCCTAAAATTGCCTTCCTTCTCCAAAGATTTATTTTTTCCCTATTGCACTTAGCATCAGCCACTCTAAACATGCTATCTGTTCACTGTCTCTCCCTCTACTAGAACTTAGCAAAGACTTGTCTGTGTTTTGGCCACTATACTGCCAACACCTAGAATACTGACTATAGTATGGTAGGTGTTCGGTAAGTATTTGTGGAATGAATAAATTCTAAATACAGTGAAAATAAACAAGAGGACACTCTTATTCATAACTTCCAACTAGTTTAGAGATTAGTTAAAATAATCTGGCTTTTAAAATTCTACATTTATGACTTTGAGATCCTTGAAACAAAAATATAGAAAGAATAAAATGTGCAATGTTTTCCTTATATATCATACCTATTAAGTAAGTTTTCTGTTAATAACCACTGGACATAAATCTTCTCAGGAGATATTACATTACAGATATGCACAGGCAGTTCCTTATTATAAAGTGTCTGGAAATTCTCATTAGATACAGTTTTTGCAGACATAAGTGTTAAGTTGTTTACTTCGTATGAAATAATTTCTTCTGGAGAAGGATCCCATACTTCAATATTATTTTTAGAATGATCTTTGGGGGTATATCTGAAAAATAATGAAAGTTAACAAAAAAGAGTAGTATACAAAATATTTACATTTGTAGTTGCTCAGGTCTATAGCTTGAGTGTGATGATAGTTACATGACTCTATATGTTTGTCAACATTCATTTAACTGTGCACCTAAAAAGGGTTCATTTTTTTTTTTTTACCATATATAAGTTATACCTCAATAACCCTGACTTTAAAAAGATTGTCAACACAGTTTGAATGTTTACTCTCATTTCTTTCCCTCCCTCTCCTGCAACTAGCTCTTCATGTAGTGCATGCAGAGAAGATGTCCACAGACGGCTCATACTATAGGAGTCCACAGGAGCCACTGTTTCTCTGGCTTACGGCGGCAGCATGTGTGGGTGCTACCCACGTACTGGCTTTCTTGAAGACTATGCGGGGGAATTATTCAGAAGACTTCCAGGGGCCACCCCCAATGCATAAGCCCTACTATAGAAGAATTCCTTGTCTTGATCTCAGAACAGCCTGCCTGTCCCCACTCCACTCTGCTCTTGGGTCACCCCAACCACCAGCCTGTTCTGGGTATCAGTACAGTGGTTCAAGTCTGTACCTATTCAAAATATTCACTTGAACCCAGAAAAATTCACATTTCTACAAATGGGAATCTAGACTGCCTGACTACCATGCTTATTATCTATCCTGACATTTCTCTTGCCAGCTTCCTTCTCACCCAGGCATGGGGGCACCAAAACAGATGTTCCCTTAGAAATAAGATGCCAGTCTTCTTTTCTTAGAAGTGCCCTTCATCTCTAGAAGCCTTTCTCTCAGTTTCCGGGTTCCTTAGAGATGGAGGGAAAAGCCACTCTACTCCTCATTAGACTAATGACTCTAATTATTTTCATTATTTTTCCTGACCCAGGAACAAGGAAAATTCCCAGGTCTACAGCATAAGCAGATATGTAGTGGGGAGTAATATGCCAATTTCCCTTCTTTCAATTAAAATGTTACATGTGAACTAAAAGTGAAGGTTTATATGTCTACTTACCCGACTTCATAAGATGCTAGGCCCTCTTTGACTAGCTGGTCATTAATACTAATAGCAGTGATTCCAGGAGCACCACAGGAATCAAAAAGTTCAACTGAGAGCACATTATCTTCCAGAATTTCTGTAAAACCATTAAGACTAGTTTGGAGGAAGAAGCAGATATGTTGCAAAATACATTAAATAAGGCTACAATTTAAAAATTGTAGCTACTTGGGAGGCTATGGCAGAAGGATTGCTTGAGCCCAGGAGTTTAAGGCTGCAGTGAGCTATAATTACACCACTGTACTCCAGCCTGGGTGAAAGAGTAAGATCCCATCTCCAAAAAAAAAAATAAAAGAAAATTAAATAAAATTGGAAATCTAATTCATTTTGCAGATATGAGATTTCTTGCTGAATAACATCATAGTCTCCCCTAGGACTTAAAGTATCATTTTGCAGATATAAATAAATTCTCAATATTATCTACAGCATACACAAATTAGTGAACATTTTATTTTAGGTTATTGTATGCTGTTTGTTCTAGACTGAATCAAAATAAATTTAAAGCTTTTAGAGTAAAAATAGATAAATTAACATATGTTTATTGAAGAAGTGGAATTCAACCAAGTTCCAGGAGGACAAATGTGAATGAAAGTTAGTTCAGGCCACTGACTATCTGTAAAGGCTTATGGCTTTTACAGAAATGGCACAGAGCTTAAAACAACAAACACTCAGTCTAGAACCCCAATTAATAGGAATTTTTTCCTGTTCTCATGTTTTTTAAGGCAAACCATCTAACCTTTAGCTCTTTTGTTTATCAGATCTATTTCTTAAACTAGACTGGGAGTTAACTTAGGACAAAGTTTATATCTCTTGTCTATTTACTTATATATGGTATATGTATACTTGCTTAGTATCTGAATACATGATAAAGAGAGGATTTTTTTTAAAGAAAACATCTCTTAAATATTCACTGAGATCAGTGTATACCTATACCTTTCCAAAACAGTAGCTGGTAGCTGCTATTCAGAATGATGATTATACATAAAAAGATAACCATTAATAGCAGTAACAGTCTATAACACCCAGTTATAAGAACACATATTATAAAGCTTTTTTTTCAGGAGTTGAAGAACTCATTTGCGGCTACTTTTCAATGGCCCAAATAAATTATCTAGAAACAAAAGGCTTTAGATTAATAAATGTTGATCTCCCTGCTTTTCCATCTCTTGTGTGAACTTCAGTTATGTGGTTTCTTGAAGTTCTTTATTACAACAGGGCCAGTCCCTGTGTTCTGCACACCTTCATCACCCTCCCTACACTATTCTCCATCCAAAAGAAGTAGAGTGGCGCTCCCATTCATCTGCAGTCCTTCACTCTGTTGTGAAGGTCCTGAACTCTCAACCTTACCGCAGTAAGGGGATAGGGAAAGGCAGCTCTGGTTGGGCGGGGCCTCTGGCACACCTCACTTCAACTCATCTAGGTTAATAACTGTGGTACAACTAGGTTTAGATGTTACTGATGTAACAAATCACTAAGTGAGAAAGAGAGAAGACGATTACAAGCATGTAATCTTGGGTCTTGAGGGGCTGTCCACAGAAGCATATCCAAGGGAGGTGCTGAGAACCAGCAGAACACGATGCCAAAAGAAAAGCTGGAAAGCAGTCACAGAGGCCAAAGTGGCGACTGACTAAAATGGCTGTACTTCGCGCTTCATCTGAGAAGCCAGACATAACATTCCATAGAATAGTATGCAATTTGTATAATCACATTCCTTTTTCATGACACTTTCTTCAGAACTTCTTGTTTCAAAGTGAGTAAGTCATCAGAGATACACTATCATTTTTAGGTTGTGACTTTGTTCATGTCTAATCAATTTCCTCATGGAAAACAGACTAATAATCTCATGATGGTTGGGTTCATTCAATGACAGTGTGATAAAAGTGAAAAAAAAAACGACCTTTGGAAGTCCTATATCAACACTAAACGTGGGCTTATGTATCCTGCACTAGTACTCATTCAGTCCACCACAGCCAGTGCTTGCTATAGCGTTGGAACAGGTCAAAATATCAAATAAACACCAGATTCCCAACTCCTCTATCCAAAACTCATACTTCAGAATTCAGAATTCTTCCAATTGAGAAAAGTTACATGATATGCATCATATGTGCAATGCCCCAGCAGAGACTGAGCAGCAGCTCACAAACACACATCGTCGTCTCAAAGTGGGATATACTACTATTCACCCTGAAGGAGGTAAAGACTATATGTAACCTCATACCGATTCAGGACAGACTTTGCTCTTATATTTTTGATTTTCAGAATTTGTTATATTACAAAATCATGGACTGTGCTTTTGGACCCTATTTCAAAAAAGGAATAACTTTTTCCAAAATCTGCTAAGAGCCTACAGTTAATTCAGCTAAGCCAAATAAAACAAAAAACAACAAACAAAATCTCTTTACCGATCACATCCCACCTCACCTTACTTTTCTGGAAGTTAATCCCTAGCATCCACTACATTAAGGACAGGGAAGGAAATCCAGTAAAATGCAAACAAATAAAAGCAGCTAATTCCTACCTGTAGGGCCTTTCATGGGGCCATGTCAAGCGTGACTTGATTTTTTATGGAAATTTTTGTCCCATGTGCTGACTTTGGACTCTAGAGTCTACAGAAGATATAATTCCATTGTACCTAATTCTCAACAAATCTTATCTTTTACTGCTACTGATGGCACCTTGAATGTATCCTAAGATTTGACAAATGTTACATAATCATACTATTCTTATTTAAAATTATGTGATTACATAACAAGTAAAAACAAAACGGTCTTACTGATAACCGAACATGTTATAAATTTATCTTGAGTCTTTTCTTCAAATTTTTCTTTAGCCTCTTTTGACCACTGCATTGTCCTTTCACGTGGCTCAATATGGGCCAGCTTACATTTAATTGCCTGTGTCAAACAAAAATTGCACCATTAAAAAAATAAGCTTAATTTCTAGTTACTTTAGGATTAAAGTTTTATGTAAGTCTGTACAAAACTAATCTTTTAACCGGGCACAGTGTCTCATGCTTGTAATCCCAGCAATTTGAGAGGCGGAGGTGAGAAGATTGCCTGAGCCCAGGCATTCAAGACCAGTCTGGGCAACTTGGTGAGAGCACGACTCTACAATAAATCAAACAATTTGCTGGGCATGGTGGTGTGTGCCTGTAGTTCCAGCTACTTGGAAGACTGAGGAGGAAGGATCGCCTGAGCACAAGCAAGTCGAGGCTACAGTGGCCGTGAGCGTGCCACTGCACTCCAGCCTGGGCAACAGAGTGAAACTCTGGCTCAAAAAAATCCAAAAAACCCCCCTAACCTTTCTGCTTGAATTTTATACGTATTTAGAAAGAAATGTGTGAAAATGTCTACAAAAGTACTTTATAAATACAAATAATTAGAATCAACAGAGTGTTTGGCTGAATGAATTGTTGCACATTTATATACTGGAATAACAAGCACTCACTAAGCTATATTAACAGACACAATACGTTAATTGTGAAAAGCACGTTATAGGGCTATTTATAGGCTGTTCCTATAATTGTTAAAAACACAGAAGAATTGTGGAAGTGTATATGCCAAAAACACTGAACAATGATTCTGAATTATTCCCTTCTTTTTGCTCATCTATATTTTTAAGTTTTTTCTATACTACACATTTCTTTTTTTTTTTTGAGTTGGAGTCTCACTCTATTGCCCAGACTGGAGTGCAGTGGCCGCTCCGGACACCGCAGCCTCGAGCTGCTGGGCTCTGGCGATCCTTCCGCCTCAGCCTTCCAAGTAGCTGGAACTTCAGGCATGCGCTACCACGCCCAGCTAATTTTATTTTTTTTTTGAGTTGGAGTCTCACTCTGTCGCCCAGACTGGAGTGCAGTGGCCGCTCCCGGCCACCGCAGCCTCGACCTGCTGGGCTCTGGTGATCCTTTCGCCTCAGCCTTCCAAGTAGCCGGAATTACAGGCATGCGCTACCACGCCTGGCTGATTTTTTGATTTATTGTAGACGAGGTTGCGCTGCCCAGGCGGGTCTTGAACCCGCGGGCTCATCGCAATCCACTCACCTCAGCCTCCCAAAGGCGCGGGATTACAGGCTGAGCCACTGAGCCCGGCTTAATTTTTTGATTTATTGTAGAGATGAGGTCTCGCCAAGTGGCCCAGGCGGGTCTCGAACCCGCAGGCTCAGGCAATCCACTCACCTCAGCCTCCCAAGGCGCAGGATTACAGGCTGAGCCACCGAGCCCAGCTTACACATTTCTTAAAGTAAAAAATGTAGCTTAATCAATACCACAGGAGTATATAAATTAGGAAATAAAGTCTCTTCTTGCTGTCCTCTCCAGAGATAAGCAAGGTAAAGTTCTCTACAGATCCTCTCCATCTTTTCTATTGTACACATATATTATAGATACTTAGACATAAATGGGATCCCAGTAAAAGTACTTCTGAGATGAGCTTTTTTCACTCGATATACCATGAACATGAAACTCTGACTACAATTTACAATATCTCAAAATGATATATTCAAAGCTGCAGGTCAGTAAGTACTTATTAAGACACAAATATACAAATATTAGTAATGCTTATAATTAATCCTTATTTGTCAAGATATACATTATTTCTTCAACAGTAACCCTAGCAACATTTGTCTATGGTTCATGTATCAGAAACTATTTACAGACAAAAATGGTGGTTAACAGAACATTTCTATAGTGAAAATAACTTCTAAAAATATTTCTATATTTGTGCTAATATTCTAACCCTAGGTTCATAATAGGTAGATTACCTTCTCTGGGGGATTCAGAAACTCATCCGTTATTTTACGCAGCTCTTTGAGTGTTATTTTTGCAGTATTACCAAAATCCACATATTTAACTTCAACTTCCTGATGTCCACACAATCCTTGAACAATTATGAAATTAGAAATCACAAACTTGGAAAGGAAACAGAGAATTTTTTTTTTTTTTAGTTGAGTCTCACTCTGTCGCCCAGACAGGAGTGCAGGGGCTGCTCCTGGCCACCGCAGCCTCGACCTGCTGGGCTCCGGCGATCCTTCTGCCTCAGCCTTCCAAGTAGCTGGAACTACAGGCGCACGCTACCACACCCGGCTCATTTTTTGATTTATTGTAGAGATGAGGTCTCGCCAACTTACCCAGGCGGGTCTCGAACCCACGGGCTCAGGCAATCCACTCACTTCAGCCTCCCAAAGCGCTGGGATTACAGACTGAGCCACCGAGCCCGGCTAAAACAGAGAATTATTTAGCAAAATTTAGATTTATCTACAGTCAACTAGATTAGAATACTTTTCAGTGTACAATATTTTATTTATTTATTTACTTATTTATTTTTTGAGTTGGAGTCTCATTTTGTCACCCAGGCTAGAGGGCTGTGCCATGTGTCCAGCCACTGCAGACTTGACCCGCTGGACTCAGGTGATCCTTCCACCTCAGCCTTCCAAGTAGCTGGAACTACAGGCACACGCCACAATGCCTGGCTAATTTTTGATTTATTGTAGAGATGAGGTCTCGCCAAGTTGTCCAGGCTGGTCTTGAACCCAAGGGCTCAGGCAATCCTCTCACCTCGGCCTCTCAAAGTACAAGATTAGAGGCGTGAGCCACTATACCCAGCCACAAACAATGTTTTCTAAAGTATAAAAAAATTTTTTCTAATTATGTGAACCTCAAAAATTCATCCATAATGCAGACTTGGAAGAATGAGAAACTAGCATTTTTAAGATAGTCAAAGAACAACCAAAATCAGGGTAATAAAAATCTATCATATGGTAGGTGGTATGACTTAGAAGTTAAGCATTGAGGCCAGCTCGTTTACTCAGTCTATAATCCCAGCACTTTGGGAGGCCGAGGCAAACGGATTGCCTGAGCCTGCAGGTTCGAGACCAGCACAGACAACGTGGCAAGACCTCGTATCTACAATAAATCAAAAAAAATTAGCTGGGTGTGGTAGTGCGCACTTGTCCTTCTGGCTACTTGGAAGGTTGAGGCGGAAGGATCGCTGGAGTCCAGCAGGTCAAGGTTGTGGTGGCCTGGAACGTGCCACTGCACTCCAGCCTGGGCGACAGAGTGAGATTCCAACTCAAACAAAAAACAAACAAACAAAAAAAGAAGTTAAGCATTGAATCAGACTAGGTTAAAACTCTAGCTTGGTCACTAAAATGCCATGTGACCAAAGCAAGCAAATTAACGTCTCTAAGATACTACCATGAGCAAGTTACTTTTTCTCCTAAGCCTCTTTATTTCATCTGTGAAACGGGTATACCAATAGAATCTAATCTCATAAGATGTTTTTGGAGGATTCACCTATTTAAAAAGCATGAGGCACAAAGCATTTAATAAATGTTCAATGTTAGACAACAGAGGTGATTAAACAGGCAAAAGATTCAATAATCAAACTAAAGATTTATTCATATTACATCAGTGAAATTTTGAAAAAAAATATTATTAATATATTTTGGGGATATTGTGAAGAATAAGTAGAGACAGACCTCTATGTCAGTCTATCCTCTATACTTTAAAGAAATCTCTGGAAGATTCACATAGAAGTTCTAATAAAGACTTATCACACACTAGCCTTTTTTGAAAGTACTCAAGCAGCCGGGCTTGGTGGCTCAGCCTGTAATCTCGTACTTTGGGAGGCTGAGGTGAGTGAAATGCTTGAGCCCGCGAGTTCGAGACTCGCCTGGGCAACTTGGCGAGACCTCATCTCTACAATAAATAAAAAAAAAAATAGCCGGGCGCGGTAGTGTACACCTGTAGTTCCAGCTACTTGGAAGGCTGAGGCGGAAGGATCGCCGGAGCCCAGCAGGTGGAGGCTGTGGGGGCCGGGAGCGGCCACTGCACTCCAGTCTGGTCGACAGAGTGAGACTCCAACTCAAACAAAAAAAAAAGAAAGTACTCAAAATACATGGTCCACTTTAGTCTTTCCCAGCACACCTATGTACAGTGTTATAAAACGTGTTATCATTTTCAAATTTAAAGGTGAATATAGCATACATCATTTCAACATGAGAAAACCCAGCATGCTCTCTCCACAGGCATGAAAACCAGCAGCCCAGCAGTAGCATCAGATGACACTTCAGGCAACACAGGCCCCAAAGCAGCTGTCTGTAGTAACTGAGAAGATTCGTGTTGGTATGGGGATGAGGCCAGAAGATGGGGAGCCCTGCTAACTCCTGTTGGAAATTCCCTGCTGGAAGGATATTCCCAGTGTTACCAGTGCCACTGGATTCCTATTCTGCCCCAAGTCTCTGAATGGAGATACAATTTTAAACAAACATATGGGACACAGGATGGACTCTAAAGAATGTCCTTGATTCAAATTATCAACATATATGGAGCAGAGTAGGAGACATGGGAGGTCTCAAATTTTCCATTTATCTTCTCTTGAGAAAACTATTAAAAAACTGCTTCACACACAAAAAGGAGTAACCTGAAGAGAGAACAAGGGATCTAATACTGGAGAACAATGGCAAGTATGACCAAGTAAAATAAATTCCCAGAATAAATATGTAGTAAGCTGAGAGAGAAAGTTATCCAACCGGAGAAGACAGGAAGATGTATCTGTGGTTTAAAAAAAAAAAAAAATCAATGCCTGAGTTCAGCAGGTTGAGGCTGCGGTGGGCCGTAAGCACATCATTGCACTCCAGCCTGGCCAACAGTGAGATTCAGACTAAAAAAAAAAAAATCTAACTAAGATTATTTGAAAAGTCTAATTATGTGGAAAACTGTTTTTGGACTATTAAAAAACATAGCCATAAATTAAATGAAAAATAAAGCAAGTGAAAATGGACACAATTATGAACTCAGAATTAGACAAAGTATACTTCATGGCTCTATTTACATAGAATATGAATTTAACTAAAACCTGTGATACAACCATAATGGGAGAGAAAGGGAGGACACAAGGGCTGTAGAGTCTTAAGACTGTTATTTAACAGAAAAGAACAGATAATATCTAAAACGGAAGCATCTCCAGAAGTATTACACATTATTAGAAGAAATAACAAGTAAATAGCAAAAGAAACAGCTGAAAGAATGAAAAGTAATTGCCTTTGAGGATGGGAGTAGAGTGTCTTTTAGCATTACTTAACTTTTTTTTTTTTGAGTTGGAGTTGCACTCTGTCGCCCAGGCTAAAGTGCAGTGGCACACTCACGGCCACTGAAGCCTTGACCTGCTAGGCTCAGGCGATCCTTCCACCTCAGTCTTCCAAGTAGCTGGAACTACAGGTGTGCACTATCACACCTGGCTAATTTTTTGATTTATTATAGAGACAAGGTCTCGCCAAGTTGTCCAGGCCGGTCTTTAATCCCTGGGCTCAGGCAATCTTCTTGCCTCGGCCGCCCAAAGTACTGGGATTACAGAGTTGAGCCACTGTGCCTGACCTCATTATTTAACGTTTAAATGGGGCAGACAGAAAACAAAGCTACTATTTACCAAACCAAGTATCATCTTCAAGGTGTAATTCAACTGGGCTGTGGAAGGCACAGGAAGACAGGCCAACTGAGTCATGTGGGCATTTCTATTAGCCACTCAAAGTCACCATGGAAACTGCACCTTCCTCAAATGTTAATACTGGACTATTTCAGGCCTTAGTGCTCACCAAATTTTCTTATCCAAATTTTAGGCATTTATTACCCTATTACCATTGATACTAAAGTTTGTTTTCGGACCTGGCTCTGGCATGATATCACTTAACAAATAAAGAAGGAAGGTATCTTACAGTCCCAGGAAGCTGTCGCCCAGACTCCAGAACCTTGTAAGACACTTATCTATCCTCTCTGAAGCCTGCCACATATAGAACTTAATTTACATATCAACAAACCTGGAATTTTCTGCTACTTTATCTCAGTAAAACATCCCCTCTACTGATTTCCAAAATTCCTTAGCTAGGAACTACATGTTACCAGTAAAGAAATCTTTTTTTTTTTTTTTTTTGGAGTTGGAATCTCACTCTGTCGCTGAGACTGGAGTGCAGTGGCTGCTCCTGGCCACTGCAGCCTCGACCTGCTGGACTCTGGTGATCCTTCCGCCTCAGCCTTCCAAGTAGCTGGAACTACCGGCGTACACTACCACACCCCTAATTTTTGATTTATTGTAGAGATGAGGTCTCGCCAAGTTGCCCAGGCGGGTCTCGAACACGCGGGCTCAAAAAGAAATCTTTAAATTTACCTATGACCTGCAAGCCCCCACTTGGAAATGTCCTTACTTCTTGGGCCAAAACAATGAAAATCTTACATGCATTGATTTATTGTTTCTTGTAACTTCTGCCTTCCTAAAATGTATATAACCAAGTCACCATTCAACCACAGTGGTCACACTTTCTCAGAACCTCCTGAGGATGGGTGTTTCCGAGCCTAAGATCTTAAGTTTGTTTCAGAATAAACCATTTTAAGATGGCTTGGCATCTTTGCATAAACAACCAAATGGCTAGTGTTTTTAAAGTCAATAATCCTCATTTGAAAAGTATTGCAAAGTCATAAAAAATACCCTTATTTGCTCCAAATATATTTATCAAAATATGGAGAGGTTTCTTTGTTGCTATGGTTTCAATGTTTTTGTCTCCTTCAAAATTCATCTTGAAACTTAATCCCTAATGCAGCAGCATGTAGGAGGTGATTGAGTCACAAGAACTCTGCCCTCATAAATGGGACTAGGTGCCCTTATAAAAGGTCTTGATGAAGAGTGTTTGCCCCCTTTTTTGCCTTTCCACCCTGTGAGGACACAGCATTTGTTCTTTCTAGAGGATACTGAAACAAGACATCATCTTGAAAACAGAGACCAATAAGCCCTCAATAAACCAGTGCCTTTATCTTAGACTCCCCAGCCTCAAGAATTATGAGAAATAAATTTCTATTTTTTATAAATTATCCACTCTGTGGTATTTTGTTATGTTAGCACAAAATGACTAAGACATTCATGAGAACCACAGTTGAAAACTCTTTAGCTAGTTCAAGTTGCTAACCACTAACAAAATTAAAATCAATGATGACAAATAAAGGATAGAAAACTTAAGCTGAAAGAATAAACAGTTTTAACACAAGATAAAGAACTGGTTATAAAGATCTTAGATTACCTTAGTAACAGAAAAACAACTTTAAACAGTGTCAAACTAAACTTTAAAAATTTAATAACAAGTACACATGTGCAAGCTAGAAAGCATGTACTAGCAATCCAACACAATGGATTAGGGCCAACAGTATATCTAATTTCTGAAATCACAAAAGCTTAGTGTGTACTTGTCCTTTCTTATCTCTTAGTCAATGGTGGGGGAATAATCATAAACTTTCCTATTCTTATTACTAGTTGCTCCATTTTCATGAATCTTCTGTCTCTAATCTCATGTTTAATTTCTCCCATTATTTCATAAGCTAAATTCAATTATTTAAAGAGGATATAGAAAAAGCAGAAAAAGATATTGAGAAAACTAGTGTTTGATAAATAATTCTCAGGAAAGAATAATATATTAAGTCAGAAAGGAAGTTGAGAGGGTACAAAAGAATTTATCTTTAATTTATACCTCGACAAGCAAAATAGCATGGGAGAGACACAAACGGTCAATATGAAGCTAGAGGTTACCAGTTTCTAAATCATGAATTTTTGCTGCTTTGTACTGCTTACCAGTTTTCCAGCCAGATTCCCAATGGTCAAGGTCTAGCCACGTCAAACAAAATCTCAGGAGTCAGAGGTTCACCTCTCAATCATTGCTAGTTTTTTGAAAGACAGATGACAGGGCCTGGTGTGGTAGCCTATAATCCCAACACTTTGGGAGGCCAAGGTAAAAGGATTGCCTGAGCCCATGGGGTAGAGACCAGCTTGGGCAACTTGGTGAGATCTCATCTCTACAATAAATCAAAAAATTAGCCAGGCATGGTGATGTGCACCTGTGGTGCCAGCTACTTGCTTGGAAGGCTAGGCAGAAGAATCACCTGAGCCCAGCAGGTTGAGACTGCAGTGGCTGTGAGCATGCCACTGCACTCCAGCCTGGGCGACAGAATGAGACTTCAACTCAAAAAAAAATAAACAAATAAAAATAAACAAAAAAATAAAAGACAGATGACAGAGTAAGTGGTAAGATCAAGTAATAGCACCTTTAAGATTTAACTTGTATAAACCCAAATGATATTAATTTTGAGGTATAACATTTCCCTATAAAAACAGCATGCATTTTCCTACCAGTGACTTTTGCTCGATACCAAACTCCATCTTCAAATTTAGCTACACAGGCTTGATCTTGAACTGGACAGAGGATTTCCAGATTTCCCCCTTCTTCACCTTTATAGAATTCCTCGATTGTCTTTAATATAAATAAAAATTCCAGACCCTCTATCTAAGAAATAAAGAGATAAAGCACTGTAGTTGTATAGAAACTTAAAATTTAAATGTTGAATGAACACAAGCAATGCTTATAAAATTATGAAATATTAAAGTTTGAATTAGACATAAATGTACCATTGTATGTTATATAATTTATTTTACAAATATTTTATTGCAGAAGCAGTATAGGAAATTAGCACAGACATAAAAATAAAATCACATTCTGCCAGATAACTTAGAGTACACTCCTCTAGTTCTTTTTCTATACACATGCACACAACCCCCTGCATACTTGTTTTTACCACAACTGGACCATACCACACACAACTTTTAAAAACTTCATTTTTCTATCATTTTTTCTATTTCAGTAAGTGTTCCTACTAGTATTTCTAGATCACATTTAGTTTTCTCTAACAGTCCAAACCAAATCCAATTCAGTATCACAAACTGCTTCTGGTTGTTACAATTCTTTTATAATCTAGAATAGTACTCTACTTCTAATGACCATGTCTTGTTGATGAGAGTCAGATATTTTTCTGTAGAATGCCCCCACACTTTATGAATTTATGTGATTATGTCCTCGTGCTGTCAGTTAGCCTATTCCTCCACTGAGTAGGGTCTATCCCCTGAATTTTCCAAAAGCTGAAAGTTATCCCTTTAAGGTCTGATGGATCCAAGCCAAACTTTTGTGCCTAAGCTGTATCATAGGTGATTTTGTACACTCAGGTTGCAACACATAAAGATGCAATACTGACTCACTATAAATATGCTGATTCATCTTCCAACTGCAGTGATGATTCTGACTTTCCCATTGTACACTTGCTTATGCCCCTATGGTCACCAAGTAATTCACGTGCTGCTACTTTGGTACTATATGAACATTGAGTTTCTTATCAACCAGTCCATCTAACAGTTTTAGTGTGAATTGATAATTCTTCCTCAAATCAATACTTCAGTAGGGTTTGTGAAATGATTGCATTCTTTAATAAAACAGAGTTTTCTCTTATTAAATGGGGCTATTTGGTATAATCCAAAAATATAGTTTTTAAAGTTCCCACAGTATCCCCAAAATAATCAAAGATTAAAATTTGATTATTTCTCCAAATAGGAATTCTTTTTTTTTAATTTTTAAAAATTGTTCTTTCTATAACATCACTTTAATAACCAAAGAGTATCCCATCTCATGGGGATGTGCCATGATTCATTTAACCAGTTCCACACAGTTAAACATTTGGATAATTTCAACAGTATCAATAACAGCCAGGCGTTTGGCTGATGCCTGCAATATCAGCTCTTTGGTAGGCTGAGGTAGGAAGACCACTTGCGCCCAGGAGTTCAAAGCTGTAGTGAGCTATGGTTGCAGCACCGTACTCTAGCCTGAATGACAGGGTGGGACGTTGTCTCTTAAAAAAAAAAAGTCAATAATATAAACAATATCGAATTTTCTCCATACATTTCTGTTTACTTCTTTAGGGTTAAGTCCTATGAGCGATCTGCTAGATCAAAAGAGCAAGTAAACTTTTGACATCCATTATCAAATGACCTACCAATATACAGCTTTAACAAGTAAAACCTTCTCTATATTATATTAAAGAGATTTAGTCAACTCTTGCCAATGCTGCACACCTATGCTAATTTTACAGGCCAAGAAAAAAGTCCAACTTACATTGCTACTTATTCTACATATCAGACATTCCAATTTCTTCTTCTGTTATATTATAAAGCTCTTGGGCTCCTTAAATTAACTGAAGTACGAGATTGGCATAAAAATAGGAAAATAATTTAATAGGTAAAAATGTTGGCTGGGTTTGGTGGCTCAGCCTGTAATCCCAGCAATTTGGGAGGCTGAGGTGAGTGGATTGCCTGAGCCCACGGGTTCTAGACCAGTCCGAGCAACTTGGCGAGCCCTCATCTCTACGATAAATAAAAAATTAGCCGGGCATGGTAGTGCGCGCCTATAGTTCTGGCTACTTGGAAGGCTGGGGCAGAAGGATTGCCTGATCCCAGCAGGTCAGCGCTGGGGTGGCCATAAGCATGTGTGCCACTGCACTTCAGTCTGGGCGACAGAGTGAGACTCCAACTCAAACAAAAAAAAAAATGTTAATGTGGTATATAACAAAGGTGGCATTTCAAGTCATTTATGAGGATATATTTTCCCAGTTCTTTTCAAAGTATTCCCTGCAGCCTTCCCTTGAGAGGACGGAAGGAATGTGGGTAGGAGATGCTGGACAGTTCGAATAGCTCTCAGTCCTCCCCACTTCAACTATATTTATCTGCTTTACATATTGAATTTATTGTTAAGGTTTGATCTGAGGAGTTCTATACCTTACCTGCCTGTGTCCCTATCTGTAAAAGGGTATAGGTTGAGGTCTGAATGTCTATCCAGTCATTTAGTGGCTGCGCATGAGCTTAAGCAAACCACTTCCATTCTGGGCCTGTTTCCTAAGGAGGTTGTCTTCTTCATCGAGAGCCTTTCCACACCCCTGCCCTTCTAGCAGTGGTGAACTTCAGACCCTCTGCTTCGACGCCCACTCCCTTTAATTCTGTTTTTACCAAGCTTTTCTCAGTAATTCTTAAGGTTAAAAAATATTTAAAATTATCTTAATGGGACAAATGAGTTTTTCTCTTGTGAATATAATGATGCAAGTGACAATTTTCTGAATTCCTATTTTTCTTGCTATTTCAATTAAATTATTTTAAAATTATTCTACTTTTAACTTTCTAACATTTTATTTCTAGGTGGGTATTATGCAAATTCTTTCATTAAGAAGTAATCCAAAGTTAACATTAAAAAATTTGGCAGAGGAATGATGCCAACAAAACAGACTAGGAAGCTCCGAGCTCTTGTTCTAACACAGAAACACTGAAAAACTGAGAGTCCAAACCAACTTTATCAGAAAGCAGGTAAAAGTTTACAATAACTAGCCAGGTGTGGTGGCTCATGCTTGTAAGTCCAGCACTTTGGAAGGCAGAGCTACAAGGACTGCCTGAGCCCAGGTGTTGGAGACCAGCCTGGGGACCATGGTGAGACCTTGTCTCAACAATAAATAAAAAAAAATTAGCCGGGCATGGTGGCACACACCTATAGTTCCAGTTACTTGGGAGGCTGAGACGGGAAGGATCACCTGAGCCCAGCAGGTCAAGGATTCAGTAGCTGTGACTGTGCCAATGCACTCCAGTCTGGGCAATGGAGTGAGACTCTGACTCACCAAAAAAAAAAAAAAAACCAGTTTATGAAACCAAGCAAGCCCCATCAAGAAAGGCCATTTCTTACATTTTGACTTGCTGTTGCCCCACCCCCTTTCCTGAATGACGATGATAACACCTCCTTTCCTAAATAACATTGAATGACACTGTTCTTGGTCTTAAGCAGTGACAGTCCAGTTCTCATTTCCCTCCCTTGAGTCAGAGAGAACAGATCTTATGCACGCATACAAATGACCGTGCATGTGTTTGAACTTGTCTGGGAATACCTGCAAGGCACAATGCCAGGAGCTAGTCTCTGTTTCACAACACTCGCAATGCTGGCAAGAAAAATGGCAGGTGCTACTTTTAAAGCTACAAGGCAAACAAAAACCTAGGTGCCTGGAGCAAGAGTTCAAGGGTGAGCCGGGCTCGGTGGCTCAGCCTGTAATCCCCCGCCTTCGGGAGGCTGAGGTGAGTGGATTGCCTGAGCCCGCGGGTTCAAGACCCGCCTGGGCAGCGAGACCTCATCTCTACAATAAATAAAAAAATCAGCCAGGTGTGGTAGCACATGCCTGCAATTCCGGCTACTTGGAAGGCTGAGGCGGAAGGATCGCCGGAGCCCAGCAGGTCGAGGCTGCGGTGGCCGGGAGCGGCCACTGCACTCCAGTCTGGGCGACGGAGTGAGACTCCAACTCAAAAAAAAAAAAAAGCGTGTGCCTGCTCTGACAAGACGCATGCTGAGAAAAGACCTTACACTTTGACCTTGAGCTGGTGATCTCTAGGCTCAGAAGAGGCCTAACTAGGTGGTAAAGAGCGAATCTGCAAAGTCTGGGAAAGGTCATGTCTTCTCTTACATTCTGTGTCTTTCATTTGTTTTAGCCCCTGGTACTCAAGGAATACTTTGTCACCCATTAATAGAGTACAAACCAGCCGGGCTTGGTGGCTCAGCCTATAATCCCAGTGCTTTGGGAGGCTGAGGTGAGTGGACTGCCTGAGCCCACGGGTTCAAGACCTGCTTGGGCAACTTGGCGAGACCTCATCTCTACAATAAATCAAAAATTAGCTGGGTGTGGTAGTGCACGCCTGTAGATCCTCCTACTTGGAAGGCTGAGGTGGAAGGATCACCGGAGCCCAGCAGGTTGAGGCTGTGGTGGCCGGAAGCGGCCACTGCACTCCAGTCTGGGTGACAGAGTGAGATTCCAACTTAAAAAAAAACAAAAAACTAAACTGAACATAAATAGGGTACAAACTAAAGAAACAGACTTCAGTGACCACACATGACAAGGAATGGTCTTTGAAAAAACAGTAGTCGTGAATGTTTGCAGTAAACATATGTCCTTGTCTGAGTGCATGAGCTAATGCTTAGGTGTCTGACCTGCGGTCAAGTGTCCTTCTCATAGAAAACATTGTTTATACTGGTACATGCCCTTATGGTTCTTGTCTGACCTGTGTCCTGTTCATTCCTACCAAGACAGTCACTCTGACCAGAAAATAAGTTGGGCCTTGGTGTGCCTGTCAGGTGAGAACAGAGGAGGCAGCACAGCCAACCATGAAAGAACAGACGCATTTTGTCCCTCACAAAGAAGCAAGAATGAGCCTGTGGGACCACTCTTTATTAAGGTCCATGGGCAGTATCCCTTAAGGTTTTCCACCGGGGGCTGTGGGTGGCTAACCTGAAGAAAACACCAGCAAAGGGGGGTACTTGTCTACATTCTGGCTCTACTGTGGTCAGTAGTGGTGGGATGTGTTGGGTCAATGAGATGAAGAACATGTGAACAACAATGCAAATGGCACATAGGAGGGAAAGTAGTTTCTTTTTTTTATTTT